AGGACCAGGAGAAGGTGCCCGGGATCAGGAGAAGGTGCTCAGAACCAGGAGAAGATGACCAGGAGAAGGTGCTCAGAACCAGGAGAAGGTGCCCGGGACCAGGAGAAGGTGCTCGGGAGATCAGGAGAAGGTGCTCAGAACCAGGAGAAGATGACCAGGAGAAGGTGCTCAGAACCAGGAGAAGGTGCCCGGGACCAGGAGAAGGTGCTCGGGAGCAGGAGAAGGTGCCCTCGACCAGGAGAAGGTGCTCAGAACCAGGAGAAGGTGCTCAGAATCAGGAGAAGGTGCTCAGAACCAGGAGAAGGTGCCCGGGACCTGGAGAAAGTACTCAGAACCTGGAGAAGGTGCCCGGGACCAGGAGAAGGTACTCAGAACCTGGAGAAGGTGCCCGGGACCAGGAGAAGGTGCCCAGGAAACAGCTGCTAATCTCAGGAAAGGAGGGGTGGGTGGGAGATCCCAGTTTTTCCTCCTTTACTTTTTAAATTATTTTGCAAATCTTCAAATTTTCAAAAAGACATTTGTGGTATTAAAAATTAGAAATGATAAAAGAAACTAGTGAAAATTTAGGAGAAATACCAGGACCCTAAACACACCTTGACGAAGGTTTAAAGAGCAGGGAGTAACAAAGGTTAAAGAGCAGGGAGTAACAAGGGTTAAAGAGCAGGGAGTAACAAGCAGGGCGATTGATGTTTTGAACTTAAAACGTCTGGCAGAGTCCCAGACCGTCTGTGGACTTGTGAGGACAGACCCTGGGATGTAACGGGACAGTGTGGACGGGGCTGGCTGAGACGCTGGCTGTCCAGGAAACACCGGGCCAGTTTTTAGCCAGCCCCCGCACCAAAAGTAGTTCTCAGTGAATTCAAAAGTGCATTTAGTTTGGCCAGTCCTGTGCCCTGGAGCTGGTGGGGCAGATACCATGTGGTCACTTGGGTCGTCTGAGTCCCAGACCCGACAGCTTGACAGTGAGCTGCTGCGTGTGTGTGCACGCCCGAAATCCGGAACAGTGGAGAGGAGCGAAGTAACCGTGGCAGGACCACGTCCCGTTGGTGACGCTTTCTCTGTCTTTCTGGCAAGTGTACATGCCCTCTGCAAGTTAGTAAAAAACAAAGTTAATGTAAACATAAAGGAACTAAAGACACTTACTTCCACGTACTTCCTGAGGGGTGCACTTTGCTAAACGCTGCAGTAGGTAACGCATCGGTGTGTTCGGACAGCACGTTGTCACCCGACCTACACGAAGCGCCTGTGGGGACCTGTTTGCCAACGGTGCTCAGCACAGGGGGCTTTGGAATAGAAGCAGGAAGCACATGTCTAAACATCTATCCAAAGTAGAATAGGCCAACACTGGATGGATTTTTGAATTGTTTTTAGGATCTGAAAATGCTGATTATGCCCGATTATGTTTGAAAACCATCATATAAAGCTTTAAGGATGGACATACGGTCGGAGGCAATGCTGAAAAGTAGCTGAGGTGACTAAGAAGGTTGACAACTCTGTTCTCAGCCGTTCGAGTGTTCTAAGATGCCCGTGTGACTCACGCGTGTTGTCTGTGACAGCACCTGACTACGACGCCTGATTAAACCTGCTGCTTCCCCGTTCGTTAAGAAAGAGACTGTCTCTCCAGTGAGTTCTCCTTTACTGTTACTGGGCCAGTAAGAGAACTTGCAATTAAATGCCTCCAGATGAAACACCACCAGGGCTATCTGAACTTGGCTGCTGCTATTTTATTAACAATTCGTGTGTGCCACTTACGCTTTCCCACGTTATAGTCATACTTTGAAAACGCTTAAACGCGGACTTAGAATAGGACGATATTTTCAAAGCATTGAAGCCAAA